GGTTTCCCCTCGCAAAAGAAATGTGCAGAAAATAGACCATCGATGGGCCGATCTCTCATTACGCAAAAGCAACCGACTGACCGACGCGACGGCCATGCCACGTGTCAGTGACCAAGAGTCCGATGTCTCTCCAGGCAGGGACCGAGGCTCCGAGGTACCGAGAAATACCAGTTAGTCACGAAACCAAACCCAAAACTGAAGATGCAGCTGACCTTGTGCCGAATCTCGCTTGAAAAGATACAGATAGACCCAAAGACATACAAGAAAGAGAAAAACCCCAAGACCCCTCCCCCCCCCGATAAGCATAAAAAACAAATGAAAAGAAACAGCCAAAGACACGAACCAACTGCCACTGCCACTGCCACTCCACTCTCACTCTCTGTCTCGTCTGTTGTCTGGTGTCTGGTGTCTGGGTGTTGGCGTCGAAAGCCCCAAAGGCAACGCCAATCGAAGGTGGGCTCTTGATAGACACCCACCATGCTACATCTTGAACCCCCAACATTGACATTGAAAACCCAGAGAAAGAGGGAGAGAGTGTGAGCCAAGGTGTTTCCAGGTCCCCGTCCGACGAGACCTGAATACCAACTGCCAACTACCAACTGCCAACTACCAGACCAGGTACAAAGTCTTGACAGTCAGGAAGTCATTGGGAATACCACCATCCATGCGGAGCAGGAGGCTGTCTATCGTTGCTCGACGATCTGTTTTGCGCATCTTCGAGCATAAAATTGCCAAACGAGTCGCGTTTTTACGAGCATTATGCGACTCAATTAGGCAATGCCGAATGTAATTATTACACTGCGCCGCCACAAAGCGAATAAGTACTCGCACTCGCACTGGCACTTGCACAGACAGAGAGACAAATATACAGACAACAAAAAAATAAAAAAGTAATTATGAATTATGGCTGAAATAACGACGGAGAATGTCAGCGAGCCCATAAGCGTTGATCGACTGTGATATCATGACGAGAAATAATAGTACGAGTAATCGTACAAATAATTCGTAAAGGAAATTATCAAGGAAGTGATGATCTCCTAAAAAATGATCAGAAAAGAAATCCAGTGCTCAAAAGCTTAAGAAGTGTTTAGCATCAATTAAATATGGATACCTGGCTACATCGATTCTCCAAAGATCAATGATCCATAGAAATTAGCTACAATGTTATGATCGTGTAATGTAGGGATGATCTTCAAAGTCTGCCGCAATTATTTCATTTTTCTGAATTGATCTACGATGTTCTGGTTATTCGGAACTACTGATCGCTAAATGGTACTAAGTAGATCGTTAGCATGAGAAAAGTTCACAATAAAAGTATGGATATAAAAGTATGGGCGATTGGATCACTTCAAAAAGGATCCTTTGAGTTTGGCTCCTATATAAAGAACTAAGAAAATCTTTGTCTTCAACTCATCAGTTAATAGATTGGTTTTTGAATGTTTCAGGTGTTAATCGAAATCTCTTTTTGCTTGATCCTATCCTGTCGTGTGAAGGGACCACACCCATGGGATCGCATCATCTCTTCAACAGCACATGTGTCACAAATACCACAGAGAATAAATTAGCGATTCTCAGGGTTATGAGAGATCGCTTAGAACATTTGATGCCTGTTACCCCTCAGATGGGCGGATAGATGGGCTTCTTTCAAGTTCAAAGACTTTGCGTGTTATATGTGGGGGGGGGGGAATTGTTTGCTAGAGTCTTAAATCCACAACACACGCCTCTAATGTCTCCAACATTAGATCCGTCTGTCAGTTTGTCCATCTCCGGGTTCTAATGACCATAACAAACATTAAGACGAAGGGGAGCAGCAGAAAAGAAACAATCCAAGCAATACCCCAAAGAAAATGAAGATGATGTACAAATTCAATAAGGAAATGTGCTAACATTTTGCGGTAATTGTGTGGCCTTTGAACTGATCGTTTGACCAGAGAGATACCAAGAGCCATACCTGGGGCCTGGGACCTTGTATGAAACTTCGCGGGCAACACAGCAGTCGATTGATTTACTGTGCCAATATTTACGCCTGTTATTAATGTTGTACTGAGAGATTTACGAGCTGTTTCAGCAAACAAGATCGTGAGCATGAGTATGGGCATGGGGAATCCGAGTTATGCGTTTAATTATCGTTTGTTTCAAGAGCAGCCTGAGCATACATCATGCACCAGCTGTAATAGCTCTAGCCTCTTTGCCTCCCATGGTTTTTTTTAGAATTCACACTTACTAAATAGATAACGCGTTGAACCACTCCCAGAACGCAAAAAAAACAAAAGCTACATATGTAAACATTTTGCACAGTGAAAAAAGGAAAAACAAACTGAAATTAGCTGAATCGATGATTCGACTGGAAGATACCCGTACATTACGGCTGTCTTCAAATTATCAATTACACAACCAAAACAAGTTTGGGTGGATCGTAAAAATATTAAAGACCAAGAATGAGTTGTTCATTATAGGAACTCTGACTGCAAGAGTCTTATATAAAAAGATTTTCAGCTACAGATATGTAGATTATGACATAAGTCTATCAGAAAGATCGAAAACCATATAATAGTTACTGTCTACTGTTTACTGTCTGCTGCGTACACTCCCCCAGATACAACCTACCCCACGAAGTCCCAGGTATAAACAACATTTTTATGGATTGCAGTGCAGTGGGGGGCTCTTCTGACGCAGGTCCTATAATAAGTATTTAATTTATTTAATATTTTTAGCCCCTTAATTGAACAGTTAGCAGTTGAGACGCGTAGGCGGGCTGGCAGACCATTTCTGCAGCTATTTTTATGTCTTATTTGATTTATTTTCGATTTTCGGTCTTTGATTTTGTTTGCCATTTCGCAATGAGAGTCCGAAAGGTTTATCAACACAAAAAAAAAATGTATATGTATCAAAGAGTCAAACAAAGGAAAAATTATATTGGATGTACAATAATAACAAACTATTTGCCGTCGCCGGCACCGCCGCCACCCCCTACTATTTATTGCCATTATATTTATACAATCGTTTCATCAATCAAATGGATTTCAACAGCTTTGTCACTCATTCAACTGCCTGATGGCTGACGGCTGATGCCTGGGGACTGGGGACTGGTGCCTGCGGACTGGGCCCCTCCCTAATTATGGTCGAGTGCAATCGGTTTTATAGTGTGTTAACACATTTGTTTAACCCGCTCTATGCTTCTATGCTTTGTGGCTGCCTTTGTCCTTACCTTCAGAAATGACGAGTACATGCCCTCACCCACCCGTACTCGTATCTTAATCTTCTTGCAAATATATATTTTTTTTGTGTGTACATGTTCAAGTGCACAAATGTGATCTTGGATTTCAATGGAATTCTCTGTGAAAAATACACGAGACGAGGAAGGGCACTGCAGGGTATCTATAGTATTTAGTGGAACATTGGGTTGGCCATACAGTCCAATATCTGGAGTTTAGTTTCTTCTGCAATGCCTAATCCCCGATTCCGACCCATATACTGCACCTACTCGTAAATTGGTGGCATTGAACGACCTTCCCTTCCCGTTGACAAGAATACACGATATAAATCTGTTTTGTAGTTTTCGGTTTTTTCGGTAGCCAAAGCCAAGTTCATCGGAAACATGCAGCCGGAGATTGGGTGACGACTCTCCGGCAAATCGAGCATTGTCATGTTCGGTTGTTGGTCTGTCCGTCTGTCTGTCTGTCTGTCTGTCTGTCTGTCTGTCCGTCTGTCTGTCTGTCACCTTGATAAGCTCATTGTCTGTCTGTCTGCCTGCCTGTCCCATCTGTTGATCTTGTTCGACTGCGGGCTTCAGCTTCCATTTACCGAAAAAGCGTTAAACGCTTGAATGACACGTTCAATTGAACACAACCCCAAGAGAAGAAGTGGTACGATACGAGCGCGTATACAGATATCTGTGTACTTATCTTATATAGATAAAGATATATATAAATATATATATATATATGTATATATATATGTATATGTATGAGGTATATGTATATGTGATGAAATGCCTACTGCGGACAGCAAAAGACCAAACAAATCAAATGACCTCAATCGCTAAATTAAATTGAAAACATGTTTAAACATTACACAAAGAGCCGACACACAGATATGATGGATGGTCAGACAGACAGAGAAAGAGAGGTAGAGAGAGCTGAACAGTGTTGTAAAGTGTGGTGAAGTGTTGAAAGTGTGTTGGAGGACCAGTTAATTGTTTTATTTTGGCACATCTTTTCGATTAACACTAGCAATTTCAGCACATCCATTGTCACATGAAGCTGGGGAGCTACTCAATCCACCCCATGGCCATGGCCATGCTTTATATAACCATACATGTACGAATGAATGTCTTAGATATTCGCACAATTCCTGTTTTGGCCTCAAGGCTTCTCCTTCCTCCAGGGGAATTGGCAGTGGAAGCTGAAGTGTAAACAACGAGACCCTGTCCATGTAATGGAGACACATTTTCCTCCATAGCCGTAAGATTCGTTGCATGACTTCCAGCATCCCATTGGCCACAGAAAAACAGGTTGTCCCAGTCTCAGGTCTCAGTCTCTGAGGGCGACTGGTTCCGAGAGCCACTGCAAATGAGTCAGTGGCGAGTGGCAAAAAGGAGACTACTCGGATAGTGGGCCCCGAAACTGCAGCCACCGACTCCGCTACAGTCCGGCCAATAAGGCTGATCGGTTTCTCCCAAAAAAAGATAAATCAGAATAAGATCACAGCTCTAGAGTGGACTAAAGGAGGCTAGACTTTGGTAAATCGGTACTTTTATGGTAGGGTATGGGCATTGGCGTCGGGGCAGTCACTTATACGCGATGATGATGGCGTTGGCAGCTTGACGGCTTCACTGCATTACATAATTCCAGCTTTTTATGCGCCACATTCACAGACACACTCACACACACTGAGGCCCAATGAATGGTCGGGGGGGTTTAGCAATTCCTGATGCCCTTCTCTTTGCTTATCATCGCCTTTACTTAACTTTAGTTAACTTGACTTTTTGTGGCTTGCAGTGGACGATGCTTCCGGCCATTATACATCCGGTTTCTTCTATGGCAACAACTATTGGATGGGTTCGTTGGCCCTTTGCGATGCCATTGACGATGGCCGGACAATGGTTGCCACCGCCGCCAACGGCAAGGACAACAGCTCCGCCTCGGAGGACGCCGCTCTCCCGAACCGAAACAGTGGCCTGCCCTTCGCTGCGGCCCATACCCAGGCCTACAACACCGTCTACAATGCCCCGCCGCCCTTTGAGCCCGGCTTCTATGTGATCAAGATGCAGCTAAACGAGACGCTGCCCACAGAAGTGGTAAGTGCTACATGTCCATCATTTAGGGGCTGCTCGATGGCAGCTGAATGCATCTGTGGAAAGACCATCATTTCACTGTTTCGTAAATGCTTGGCTGTATTTCTTTGGCGGCTCATACAATGTGTCATCTATCCTGTTAGCCATCGAAAGGAATCCGAAATCCATCCCAGACCCGTTCGAAATCTATAGAACTATCCCTCAATCCGTCCCCTAAATGTATGTTCCAGTTACCTAAACTTCTTCTCTATCGCCCCCAATCCCCAGGTGCGCACCATTTACGTGGGCATGTGTCTGCCCTCGAGCTGCTCCATTCCCGACGTCCACGAGATGAGCAGCCATGCCCGCGTGGAGCTGCCGACGCGGGACCTGCGCGTCCTGGACATCCGTGTGCCCACCGACAAGGAGTTCAACATTTGGGCGGACAAGACCTTCTGCCTGCTGATGTAAGTGGCCAAAATTCCAATTCCAAATCCAAGCCAAATCAAATTCACTTTCAAAAATCATCGCCGGCTGCTCTAACCAATTGCCCAAACAGAGAGATTCGGAGATTTGGATTCGTCTCTGTCTTTTATGTGTTTGCGTTTTGTTTGCCATTAGCATTGTGAGATACTACTCGTAGTGTGAAATCGGTTGGCAACTCTCCCCTTCCTTCCCCCCCCCCAATAGAGAGATAGTTTTCATAAAAAGCGAAACTCTTCGGGGCACGCCTCCGTCTGTTTGCTGCGACAATTAGCGAGGAGTAATCGAACCGTGTTTTCCTTTTCCTCTCTAGCGTCGTGTCGGGCATTGTAATGGGCCTGATCTGCTGCGGCACCCTGTACGAGATCTACCTGAGGAGGCGCCTCAAGGAGGCGCTGCGTCGCCAGGACAAGGAGATGATGAACAACAGCGAGACGAGCTCGGGCATCGGCTGTGCCTCCTCCGACTACAGCGACACCATGACGGCGCACGATGATCCCCTGAAGCACGCGTCGACGCACACGTCCCAGTCCAGTTCCCTGAAGCAGTTGGACCAGTTGGTCCTGAATCTGCCGCCGCCGTTGACGGGCAATGACAACGACAGTGGCAATGGGCACCACGATCACCACGGGCACGAGCACGAGCATGAGGACGATCATCATGGGAGCAGGAGCAACAACAGCACCTCGGATGAGCATCTGGAGGGGCATCTGCACGAGCCGGAGAAGCTCAGCATCTACTCGGAGCTGCTGCTTTCCTTCTCGGCGATCACGAACTTCAATGCGATCTGCGATCGCAATGTGGGCGCCGACACGATACCCTGCATCCATGGCCTGCGTGCCTTCAGCATGGCCTGGGTGATCCTCGGGCACACCTGCATCGTGGTCTTCAAGTACTCCGACAATATGGAGATGCGCAAGGAGGTGGAGCAGAACTTCTTCTTCCAGGCCATCACCAACGGCCCCTTCAGCGTGGACACGTTCTTCTTCATCAGTGGCTTCCTCATCTCCTACATCTACTTCCGCACCAATGCCAAGGGAAAGCTGAACAAGCTGAGCAAGGGCGCCAATGAGTTCACGGCCGGAACGGCCCATTTCTTCGGATTGGTCGCCTATCGCTTCATGCGGCTTACCGCCCCCTATCTGTTTGTGCTAGGCGTGGTCCAGGTAACCATGAAGTATCTGGCCGCATACTCGATCTTCGATCCCCCAACCATGGATCACATCACCTGCCCCGACTACTGGTGGCGCAACATACTGTACATCAACACCCTGTTCCCCGTCGACGAGATGGTAAGTACTTGCAACAGATCCTGTCTAAATAATCTCTAATACCATTGTTCATTGTCCATTTGTCCCCTTGTAGTGCATGCTCTGGAGCTGGTATCTGGCGAATGACACACAGTTCTACATGATCGGCGCCATCATCCTGATCGTAGGCGTGCGGCACTTCAAGCTATCGGCCATTACAACGTTGGTGTTCCTGGTGCTGTCGTGGATCACGACCGCTGTGATCGCGTTCACCAACAACCATCGCCCGAACACCGACGATCCCCTGGCTCTGTTCGACAAGATCTACGACAAGCCCTGGACCCGTCTGGGGCCATATCTGATCGGCATGGCCGTCGGCTGGATCCTGTTCCGCACCAACTGCAAGATCCGGCTGCCAAAGCTTACGGTGGCCACCGCCTGGGCCCTGGCCATGCTCAATCTCTTCGTGCTCATCTTCGGGCTGTACCAGACCGATCTGTCGCAGTTCACGGCCGCCGCTTACAGCTCGCTGAGCCACTCGGCCTGGGCGCTGTCCCTGGCCTGGATCACGATCGCCTGCTCCACGGGCTACGGGGGCTATATCAACTCCCTGCTGTCGGCGCCCTGCCTCTATCCCTTCTCGCGGGTCACCTACTGCGCCTACCTGGTCCATCCCATTGTCATACGCTCGATGGCGCTCAACTCGGATGCGCCACTGCATTTGGGCGGGGATCTGATGGTAAGCTATTGAATGAATGAATACTTAAGTGTGGAGCCTCGAATCTCGATCTAATCTATCTATACGTTTCTCTGTAGGTCGTCATGTTCTTCGGTCTGACGGTCGCCTCCTACTTCCTGTCGTTCGTCGTCTCGATGTCCTTCGAGGCGCCCGTTGTCACAATGCTGAAAATCTTGTCACCTAGTCGAAAGAAACGTCTCGCCTAAAGACCAAACCTACACCTAAACCATACCCCAAAAACCATCCCAAAACCCATACCCGATTATTTATGCGTTACTATACATACACAATCCATGTTATCATGTTATCTATTGCTCGTCCTTGTTCTTGTCCTCGTTCTTACTCGTATCTCCCCCCCACCCAAAAACTCATTCGAACTTAATCAAGCAATGCCCACATATTTATAGCATCGTTTCATACACATACTCGTACACGACTCTAGTTCAGATCGTTTTCTCTACATAAACATAAATATATATGTATCTACGTATACTCCATGTATCCCTGACTCCTTCGTTTCTCTACCATTCCATTGAAAGATTTCCACGAAAAAATCTCTTCTATTATTTCTCATACTGTTTTTGTTTTCATAATGTGTACATTTTAGTCCTTTAATTTATTCCAATGGTTTGGAAACTTTGTGCGCGACGATGAGTAATACATACATAGTACTTAATAGTAATAATTATATGAAACTATAGTACCTAATTTTATAAAATCATGTTGTATATATATGTACTCTATGCTATATACTGTTATATATAAATCTTTAAATAAAAACTGCTACCAAATACAAGTTTCCGCTCGGTTTCTAATAGAAATTATATAGATAAGCCCAAGAGTATGCTATGCACTTATTTCTACATGGCTCTTTACATTAATTCGTTGGCGCCATCTACCAGCAAGAGTACGCTACTGCTGGGCCCTCTCACATTGTCCACCCCTGGCAATAACCAGGTGTAGAAAGTGCGGGCAACTTTTCAGCAGAAAAAACCAACTTAGCTTAAAAAAAACCACAAAAAAATAAACGTAGTTAATGGTTTCAACCATTTCCTAGTAATATCCTTTCATTGAAAATAAAACTTTACCTTATTCATACAATGCTAATGGTCCTTCCACTAAGCATTCACTATATATGTACATAGATGTACAACTTGGTACAGCGAACTTTCTGTATTAGTTCCCAGGGTCTTCGGCTCTGGCATTCGGCTAACGCCGCGTCTTCACCCCATCATACGCTTCTAGACGCGTAAGTGAATTAGTAGAAGCCGAAAAAGAGAAAATTTTAGACCGAGGTACCAGGCGAAAAGATCTCTGCAGCAGGCAACTTTAGCGAGTGCTACATTTCTTGTTGCACAGTTGCTTTCTGCTAATTTCTGTTTGCCTGGTACCCAGAATTTAAATTTGTTATTTTCGGGTATTTGACGTCGGATTTATATTGCAAATTGTCCACGAAAAAATTGAACAAATTGAACACGAAAAAAATTGCCACGCCCAGACCGGCAGCCTTTTAGCCAAGATATAGCATATAGAATAAACCAGTATTTCAAGGATATGCAAATCCAAATCTTCGGAAGGCTATATCTCAGACCAATAGGGCCAGATCGGCGAAGGACCAGCACTCCCAAAATCGTGGGGATCCAGACTGTCAAACGGCATTTTTGGCAAATTTAATCACGATCACGAAAAGACATGCCACGCCCCGATCGGCTGCCGTATCACTGAGATATAGAAATGCAGAAAGATATGCAGAAAAACCAGTATCTCAAAGATATGCACATCCAAATCTTCGGAAGGCTTTATCTCAAACAAATAGGGCCAGATCGGTAGAGGACCTACTCTCCCAGGACCGTGCAAAAAATCATGATGGTTACATCATTAAATTTGCCAAAAATCGGCCTCCTTTCCGAAGTCGAGATTTTGATGGTATTCGACAGGCAGGATTCCCACGGTCCTGGGAGAGTAGGTTATGTACCGATCTGTCCCTATTTGTTTGAGATAAAGCTTTCCGAAGATTTGGATGTGCATATGTATCTTTGAGATAGTGGTTTTCCGGCACGCTATATCTCAGCGATACGGCAGCCGATCGAGGCGTGGCATGTCTTTTTATGGTCAAGAGAGTCCTGCCTGTCGACTGCCATCCGAAAAAGGGACATCCATTTATTCACGATTTTCGCAAAAAATCATGATGGTTACATCATTAAATTTGCCAAAAATCGGCCTCCTTTCCGAAGTCGAGATTTTGATGGTAGTCGACAGGCAGGATTCCCACGGTCCTGGGAGAGTAGGTCCTGTACCGATCTGGCCCTATTTGCTTGAGATATAGCCTTCCGAAGATTGGGATGTGCATTTGTATCTTTGAGATAGTGGTTTTCCGGCACGCTATATCTCAGTGATACGGCAGCCGATCGAGGCGTGGCATGTCTTTTTATGGTAAAGAGAGTCCTGCCTGTCGACTGCCATCCGAAAAAGGGACATCCATTTTGTCACGATATTTGCCAAAAATCATGATGGTTACATCATTAAATTTGCCAAAAATCGGCCTCCTTTTCGAAGTCGAGATTTTGATGGTAGTCGACAGGCAGGATTCCCACGGTCCTGGGAGAGTAGGTCCTGTACCGATCTGGCCCTATTTGCATGAGATATAGCCTTCCGAACATTGGGATGTGCATTTGTATCTTTGAGATAGTGGTTTTCCGGCACGCTATATCTCAGTGATACGGCAGCCGATCGAGGCGTGGCATGTCTTTTTATGGTAAAGAGAGTCCTGCCTGTCGACTGCCATCCGAAAAAGGGACATCCATTTTTTCACGATATTTGCCAAAAATCATGATGGTTACATCATTAAATTTGCCAAAAATCGGCCTCCTTTTCGAAGTCGAGATTTTGATGGCAGTCGACAGGCAGGATTCCCACGGTCCTGGGAGAGTAGGTCCTGTACCGATCTGGCCCTATTTGCTTGAGATATAGCCTTCCGAAGATTTGGATGTGCATATGTATCTTTGAGATAGTGGTTTTCCGGCACGCTATATCTCAGTGATACGGCAGCCGATCGAGGCGTGGCAACTCTTTTTATGGTAAAGAGAGTCCTGCCTGTCGACTGCCATCCGAAAAAGGGACATCCATTTATTCACGATTTTCGCAAAAAATCATGATGGTTACATCATTAAATTTGCCAAAAATCGGCCTCCTTTCCGAAGTCGAGATTTTGATGGCAGTCGACAGGCAGGATTCCCACGGTCCTGGGAGAGTAGGTCCTGTACCGATCTGGCCCTATTTGCTTGAGATATAGCCTTCCGAAGATTGGGATGTGCATTTGTATCTTTGAGATAGTGGTTTTCCGGCACGCTATATCTCAGTGATACGGCAGCCGATCGAGGCGTGGCATGTCTTTTTATGGTCAAGAGAGTCCTGCCTGTCGACTGCCATCCGAAAAAGGGACATCCATTTATTCACGATTTTCGCAAAAAATCATGATGGTTACATCATTAAATTTGCCAAAAATCGGCCTCCTTTCCGAAGTCGAGATTTTGATGGCAGTCGACAGGCAGGATTCCCACGGTCCTGGGAGAGTAGGTCCTGTACCGATCTGGCCCTATTTGCTTGAGATATAGCCTTCCGAAGATTGGGATGTGCATTTGTATCTTTGAGATAGTGGTTTTCCGGCACGCTATATCTCAGTGATACGGCAGCCGATCGAGGCGTGGCATGTCTTTTTATGGTCAAGAGAGTCCTGCCTGTCGACTGCCATCCGAAAAAGGGACATCCATTTATTCACGATTTTCGCAAAAAATCATGATGGTTACATCATTAAATTTGCCAAAAATCGGCCTCCTTTCCGAAGTCGAGATTTTGATGGCAGTCGACAGGCAGGATTCCCACGGTCCTGGGAGAGTAGGTCCTCTACCGATCTGCAACTATTTGTTTGAGATATAGCCTTCCGAAGATTTGGATGTGCATATCTTTGAGATACTGGTTTTTCTGCATATCTTTCTGCATTTCTATATCTCAGTGATACGGCAGCCGATCGAGGCGTGGCATGTCTTTTTATGGTCAAGAGAGTCCTGCCTGTCGACTGCCATCCGAAAAAGGGACATCCATTTTTTCACGATATTTGCCAAAAATCATGATGGTTACATCATTAAATTTGCCAAAAATCGGCCTCCTTTCCGAAGTCGAGATTTTGATGGCAGTCGACAGGCAGGATTCCCACGGTCCTGGGAGAGTAGGTCCTCTACCGATCTGCAACTATTTGTTTGAGATATAGCCTTCCGAAGATTTGGATGTGCATATCTTTGAGATACTGGTTTTTCTGCATATCTTTCTGCATTTCTATATCTCAGTGATACGGCAGCCGATCGAGGCGTGGCATGTCTTTTTATGGTCAAGAGAGTCCTGCCTGTCGACTGCCATCCGAAAAAGGGACATCCATTTTGTCACGATTTTCGCAAAAAATCATGATGGTTACATCATTAAATTTGCCAAAAATCGGCCTCCTTTCCGAAGTCGAGATTTTGATGGCAGTCGACAGGCAGGATTCCCACGGTCCTGGGAGAGTAGGTCCTGTACCGATCTGGCCCTATTTGCTTGAGATATAGCCTTCCGAAGATTTGGATGTGCATATGTATCTTTGAGATAGTGGTTTTCCGGCACGCTATATCTCAGTGATACGGCAGCCGATCGAGGCGTGGCATGTCTTTTTATGGTAAAGAGAGTCCTGCCTGTCGACTGCCATCCGAAAAAGGGACATCCATTTTGTCACGATATTTGCCAAAAATCATGATGGTTACATCATTAAATTTGCCAAAAATCGGCCTCCTTTCCGAAGTCGAGATTTTGATGGTAGTCGACAGGCAGGATTCCCACGGTCCTGGGAGAGTAGGTCCTGTACCGATCTGGCCCTATTTGCTTGAGATATAGCCTTCCGAAGATTGGGATGTGCATTTGTATCTTTGAGATAGTGGTTTTCCGGCACGCTATATCTCAGTGATACGGCAGCCGATCGAGGCGTGGCATGTCTTTTTATGGTAAAGAGAGTCCTGCCTGTCGACTGCCATCCGAAAAAGGGACATCCATTTTGTCACGATATTTGCCAAAAATCATGATGGTTACATCATTAAATTTGCCAAAAATCGGCCTCCTTTTCGAAGTCGAGATTTTGATGGTAGTCGACAGGCAGGATTCCCACGGTCCTGGGAGAGTAGGTCCTGTACCGATCTGGCCCTATTTGCTTGAGATATAGCCTTCCGAAGATTGG